AACTCGATCAATCCAGACATGTCTCAGATACGGATCCAGAACTGAATTCTTTAAAACAAAATGGCCGCCAGTCAGCCATTTCAAGCCCGATCCAAAAAATGACGTGCATCAAGGTCCTATTATGTTTAATGTATGTACCAAATTTGAACAAAATCCGTCCATGCATAACTGAGATCCAGGTCCGGAATGGTGAAAATGTGCGATTTTGATGCATTTTCGGCCTTAAAATGGCCGCTATTCGGCTATCGTTAATCGGATCATGAAAAAAATGCATGTGCATATGTCCCATATAATGTGTGATGTATGAGTGAAGTTTGAACTCAATCGGTCCATGCATGTTCGAGATACAGGTGATCACGGACGGACGGACACACGGACGGACGCACACAGGGCAAAACATAAGTCCCCGTTTTCGGACTACGTCCGAACGGGGACTAATAACCTCAAAATAACAATTTTTAAAGTCCCAAAAATTAATTTAAACTGAGACAACTACATTAGTATTGGCAATATTGAAAAGTTGGAAGTGCTATTTCAAAACCAACCATGCAGTGTGTATACAAGATATACAATGTTTACACAAAACTAATGTGAGGTACTATCATAAGAAATGTCATAGGTAAGTCAACTACCATAAAACACTTTATTTTAGCTGAAAAAACTTTCTGGGTGTTTTGTTTTATTTTCACTGTTTTTAATGGGTTGAATGTAAAATACTGTATAGAAAAAAAAAGTATATTCGATGGATTTTATTTTCACTGAATCATCCCTTCAGTGAAAATAGCTTTTTTTTTTACATATACACATTGCGTAGTTGACAATGGTAGCTGAAAGTGATTTCATAAATGTGGTTAAAATCTATTTAAATAAATTTATTAGACACAACACTGAATTTAAACAAGTACAGCATTATGCTTCCCTGAGTTTATCTGCAATTGTACAAAAATATAAACGGTTTTCATAATAAAAAAAAAAAAAGTAAATTTAGAATAACATTTGCTGAAGAATTTTTTTCTTGTATTTACAAATCATGGATTTTCTGTATTCTTTATCACTAATGTCATTGTTGCAAAGTGTGAGCCCAACACCGCGGTGTTAGATGGGAGTTCAACTTTGCATACACTGACTTTTATGAACAGAGTTCAAATATGAATACAACACATCTAAAGCACATCTGCCATCAGGGTAATGTGATAAATTGAAATTTTTTTTTTCAAAATTCACTAAATTTCTAAAGATAAATTAGTAAATGCATATTTTGTTTTCTGTTTTCAATTATCACATTTACTAACACTCGAAAAAAAATCCAGAGAGCATCCAACATATGCGGCTCTAAATGCCAAAGGTTATAGGTCAGACAGAGTATCTTTGTAATCAAATGACCTTTGAAAATGATATCCAGAAATGGCACACTACTTATTTGTGGAGTTCAGTGTCCTCAGACTGTTTTATCTGACTTCTGTTAAAGATAATAATTTTGTACTGCGAAAATAAAATAAAATCACAGAAAAATGGGATAAATGAATCTGAGATTTGAAATAAATATCTATTATTTTGAAATCTGAACTAACTATGGTAGCTCCAAGGTCAATAGGGTTTGCCATGATTATAAGATCATACTAAAATAGACGCGAGATATTATAGAGCACTGTACAACACACAAAGCAGATCAAATGCGGACGGCATACCCAGACGATAAAAACATTTCCGAACCAAACTGCATTACTTCGCTAGGGTTTTTTTACAATAATTTGTTGTGAATCACAAGGTCAAAGTCAAAGCCATTGGTAATTATTTTATTGCTACAACATTTATAGATACTTATGTTGCAGTTTCAGTTTTGCCATGCAGCGCATACATCAATTTTTTGTCTGGACAATCAAAAATCACTGCTGTTTTGAATTCTATTTCACCACAAAGATCTGTTGTTAATAGGAATTATGAAGATCTGGTCCATAACTTCTTGGCTGAGATAGCTCCGCTATTAGCAATGCACATTTCAATTAAAGAATTGAAGATATCTGTCAATCCAAGGGATTGCACCAGGGAATCATGGGACACAACTGTTTATGTTGTTTACATTATTAATCACTTCTATGTGTGTTCAGTTGTAATTTTACTAGTAATGCAATCAGTAAATTTGATGGGAGTTAAAGTTTAACTGGAGGAGTCCCTTCAAATTCGCTTTCTGTATATGCAGAGCACTGATCATTGTGATCACCATGAAAAATGAGAAAATAATGGTGTCCAATCAAACAAAATTTTCTTTGTTGTAATCACTGAAGGCCATTACTGGTATACAAGGAACTGCTAAATTCAATTTTTTGTACAAGATTTCCCATGAACTGCATAAAATCTAAAAGCCTTTATACATGTTATTCTTACAGGGTTCAGTGAGCAGTGTGAATGCTACTTTAATAAAAGTCTGGTGTACATCACAGACAAATCTTTGCGATAAAGACAATTTTTAGATTGTTGATAACAAGTTCTTGAGAGATATTTGATGCTAGATGCTGGAAATTCAATCACGAAAGAGTTTACAATATTTCTTGGCAATGTTCAACGATTGGCAGGAAGATTCTGATACAGATATCTTACAATAATCACAGCATGCTCAACTAGAGAGCATCTGTAACACAATTTCTGATTGGTCACCAATCCCAGAAGTAATTTATCAGATACAGTTAGAAGAGATGTCCACCAGTGGGGCCATATATTTAGAAACAACTGTTTTATCAGAACCTTTCAATAAAATACAGGAGCCATTCACACAGCTTTAGATTTTTTAAAGGAATGCTTACCTAAACATACATTGGATAAATAATAAAATATGTATTCACATTCATAAAAATAAATTTTATTTATACCAGAAGACATCAATAACCAATACGACAATTAAGTGAAAACATTAATCACTGTAAAATACTTTAATTTGCACTTTGAATTAATTTTCGCTGAAGGAATAATTCAGTGAAAACAAAATCCAGTGAATATACCTTTTTTCGATATTTTATATTTAACTCATCAAAAATCAGTGAAAATAAATTCCATACAAAACACCCAAAAGGTCTTTTCAGCGACAATAAAGTATTTTACAGTAATTGCTAACTTTCCATTTAGTTTACCGTACTTGACCTTGGTTTGAAATAAACTAAAACGCTACAGGGTTTGTGCTAGTGTCTCTGCGCTATTACAAAACTATCATTGACGATAGATTACTAAGTAGGGACGGGACAGAGACCAAATGGATGCAATTAGGAGGAGGGGCAACTTTTTTAATACTTGTAGCTATTAATAATTCTGATAATACATGTATTAATAATTTAGGATAACTTGCCTGCATTCCTTTTCCAGCCCCTGGAGGACCTAACAATACTACTTTCATCTTGGTAAAAGTGTTGTTTCAATAAAAAACTAAATGATTTTTTCTGCAGAGTAAATCCAGCTGATGATTTCTGTACTGTTTGCTAGAGTTTAACAGTCCCAGGGAATGTTCCTGCTATCCCAGAAATGTGACCTTTCAACTGAAGTTTTACATATTCATGATGTTTCCCTTAAATGTACATGATGGTTTATGGCATGTAATGGATGTGCAGAACCTGTCTGATTAACAATGTGTCCAACCCACATGGGTTTATTTAGGGAGAGCATACAAAAAAAAAAATTTCAAACTAAAATACAACAAATACTTTGTAATTATACTTAAACAAATATTTTGAGTTGTTATTAAACACAAGTCTAAGCCCTGAAACAAATCCATACGCAATGTATACTATCTAAGTATCAACTGCAGTGCTTTAAGTCCCTTTAAGTATTTTTTTGATTTGATTTTTGTTTTTTAAATAAGAAAATATGTTGTACATTGCAAGAAAAGAGGTCAATATGTTTCAGCAATAATAAATATTGACACCAAATAAAAGTTAATTACAATTACCAAAAGTTCTACCAGCATAAATTAAACAATGTAACGGATTTAAAAGCTTCGACTGTATTAATCAGACAGTTTTATACTTATGAATGAATCGGGTCAGCTGATTCGATTTACAATTTCTGAACATCAATAATGATCATCTTTTGATACTCCTTTTTAGTATTTAAATTGTCAAGTGACAGATGTCACCTCGCCGACAAGTACGACAGCTTGCGTTTTATTCATAAATTCATATTTAATATTTTTTTTTTTAATTTTGACATTGAGACCTTAAAAAAAATGTAATTACAAAAATGATCGTGCAACAAAAATACCAGATCAAAGATACGAATATGCTGCCCAGCCTCAATCCTGTTGTTCGGAGGTGTAAGTGTTTTGTCAAATTCTGACAGCCATCAAAGAAATAAGGCAATGCACGCAACTTTACGGAATCCTTTGTATGAACATGAGTAGGACTGTCAAAAACTTACCTGAGTCCCCTTTCCGGCACCCGGAGGTCCCAGAAGAATCGCCTTGATTCCCTTTGGCTTCTCGCTTTCTTCGGGTACAGGTGGCATACTGACTGTTGAAGTAGTTCGAGTCGAAAATTCAAATTAAAATCGCCAGACGAACACGGACGTGGTCACACGTGAAGTCAAGATGGCGGAAAAGACCGGTGACACGCTGCGTCGCCGACGAGGGCGCTCTTCTCAATCCCGTGCCAGTCGATCATGCTATGTACTATGTACTGTACCTTGAACTGGGGCACCATAGAAAACACAAATATTGTGTCCGCCTCAGGTTATTGTGTGGTCCCTAGGACATTATGAAACTGTTCACCTTGTGCATGTATAAGTAATACTAGTGAATTTATCACCGCACTTTAAACCACCGATCAAAAACAACTTTGACAGCAAATCACATCTGGTTGAGGTGACACAGAATAAATATAAATAAATCTGGATTTGTTCTGTACCCGTTGAAACCAAATTATCATACATAGAAATTGCTTTCAACGCACGTTTAAATCTAGAATTAAATCTCCAGTGTTAAAATCACCCAAATCACCTAATACTGTAAGTCAGCAGTTCAATATCTAGTCTAATACTCAAATTAAAACATTATGTTATTTATTTGACACGCATTTGCAGTTAGTTTGTCTGTCTGTCTGTCTGTCTGTCTGTCTGTCTGTCTGTCTGTCTGTCTGTCTGTCTGTCTGTCTGTCTGTGTGTGTGTCCGTCAATCTGTTCCACTGATATCCCAAGAACCATATGTTGGTCTTTGATGAAACTTAATGCATAGATTCTCTGGGCAGATGCGCAGATTAGGTTTTGGGTCAAATTAGTGAATATTTAATACCTAATTTACGATAATTAGCTTTTTTAAGCTGTTCCATGACTGTTTCACTGATATCTAAAGAACTACTCATTGGATTTCGATGAAACTTGGAACATAGATTATCTAAGACTATGCAGAGACCTGTTAAACAATAAAATCAATTCTAAATGACAACCTAGAATATAAAAAAAACTTCATCTGGATTCTTTAAATTAAAACATTTTAGGTGCTAGCAAGAAAAGCACAAATATCGCATCATGAGTAGAATTGGATCGTTACCATATACAATTGAAATAGTCAATAACGTATTCTCACACTGGGCAAGAATATAACTAACAATACTAATCAGGATAGCCCTAATAATAAAACCGAACAACATGAAAAACTGCAAATTACATTCTGTACATTTATTAACGGTGGTCAGAAATATTGCTGGAAAGCTGATGTTTTGATACATAAACATGTTAAAAATCAGAGCTAAATTGTAAGACATTTATTTATGGAATGAGAAAAATAGATAAATAAGACAATGACCAAAGTGTTAGCAACAAACTCAGAACTCACAAAGATATACGCATTTGAACATTAGCTAAAATTAATTGCGAAAATTAGAAGTCAGAACAATTACTAAATTAAGAGTTTCAAGCCATAATTTACCAATCAACTGCAAGTTGTGTGACAGAAATAAAATTGGCGACGAGAACCATTAACATTATGAGTTGTAAAAATGCAAAGAATACAGCGTGTAGACAACTTTTAATTTACAAAATCACATTTCTGGAGTTCGACATTGATCCTACAATAGGTATAATAGCTTACTAGTATATAATAGTTTGTGATATTATTTTTTTTTAGTGTGTTGATAGTTGTATTTTAATGGCCACACTGTCGTATAACTTTGATATTGTGTGTGTCAATAACCTATAATGCACCAGGGGTAATGCATATAATGTGGTATAATGGACATAATAACTGAGATAAAAATGGTGCTCGTCTTCGATTGTGTTCAAAGTTTAAAGCGGGAGGGTCGCCACCTGCGCACGCGTGGGAATTGAGTCTCAGGCGACGATAACAACACACGCTAAAACGCAAAGGCTCATGGGTAGACGCTTGTTTGTAAATAATGACACGCTATGGCCATCTGACGCACGCGCATGTGACGATTCCCCCGCTTTAAAGTATCATTTCACACTGTGTGTTTTGGAAACCTGCAAGTATCTACTAGTTTCAATCATTAATTTGATCTGAACCCACATGACGAACCTCGGAAGATTTTAAATAAAATCAATACACGGAAGAGATACCTTTTAACATATTATTTTAAGTTTTAAACATATTATATTGATTCACTTTTTCGTCTTCTTGCCAGTGCTGGTAATCAAGGTCTTGATGTTGAAACGTTTGTATTATTATATAATGTGAATATTAATATTTATGAAAATATTTAAAGTGCAGCACATGTTTGAGTTTCATGTAAGCAAACGCTGTATTTTACACGCGTTGCATACGTTGCATGGAACACGTATCAAACACAACGCGACGCGAAGACCCCCGCTCCCCGTTGTGAGAGGTACAAAACGATATTTCGAGAGAATTTTTAAAAATAATAATCAAATCACCAAGTACATACCTTTTAAGTGACCATATTGTTTGTTCACGAAACGATTGTCGGTATGACGAGATATCATTTGAATATTAATATAAAATTATGACCGTCCAATTAACCGTATTGCACCAATAAAAGTAATATATATGTAGTTTTGTGAATAGCGCCATCTAGCGATAACAATTGTATATTTTCTCTTCCATGCCGCCAACACATTATTTCAAAATCTGCGGATTATATCTACTCTAGCCAGACGCACGGAAGTGTGTTTTAAACAGGCTAAATACGAATCCGGTTCCATCACAATATATCCTTACATGATTTCATTGTCATAACTGTGTAATGATCCACAAATATAAATATCATGTAAAAGTAATTTTATAATGGGGATGTTTATTCCATTGGATGGTCGGCTCCCAAAAATACCTTCCAGAAGAATATAAACATGTAAGAACATAATACGGTATTACATAGGGTTTTATAGAAACCATCAATAACACGCACGTATTTCGGCGCCGTGTAATGGGTATTTAATCAGTGGTCGACTTCACAAACAAACATATTCGACATTATATTCACTTCGACGTCACGGAATCGCCTTGTCGCCAGAGGGCGCAATTTATGCTGGAAAGATTTCTGCACCCTAGTCTCGTTTACATCCGGGAAAGTGGTCTATCCACTGTCTCCTCCGTAAGCCGAGACATTCAGATTACCCCTTACGCGTAATCTATTGGAAAACACATTGATTCCGAAACCTTGGTAACACGCATGTTTCCTTGATTGCTGCTATACTATACCAGTGTCCAAGGATAGCATTATGTACTAACAAACCACACCATGCGTGGCATTTTTTTGTTTATTTAAAAATGACTTTGTCGCGTTGGAACAAGATTGAAAAATAAAAATTGCCATGGCTGGGTCAGTCTACGCCAGTGCGTCTAGACATCCTAATAATATTAATTAGCTAATTGTTCAGACCCATAATATACATAACGACATATTTCACCAAATGCCGAGTCCAATTTCTTGATATTTTGAGATGTAAATTCCTCTTTCTTCTTGACATGTTTTCGGTTTTCTTGGACATCGATGAGGAAACTTTCTTTCCAAGCGAACTTCTGCGAATGAGTTACGACAGTTGTTGATTCAACATGAATTAGCTCCGAAAACTGCTTTGATAATTCATTTCGTGTATTGAAAATACAATTCCGACACCCTTCGTCGTAATTTTGATAACTTTCAAAATAAATACTCAAAAAATCGGATTTGTCAGTCGCGAGAATAACACCGTTGGAAGAATTCAAGCCCGAACGCGCGAACACGTAGTCATAGTAACGTAGAGGGTCAAGGGACGAAACAATAAATGTATTACGGTCCATAAACACACCGCCTATATCCATCAATATCCGTAACCTAGCAACCTCCACTGCGTGCTCGGGCCAATTTGGATTAAGAGTTTTACCGAAAACTTCCGTTGGGGGCGTGGTTTGAACTATTTCCAAAACCGGTACGAGTCGTTTGGCCTGGTTCCACCATTCACCATGTGGTTCGCAGTCCGTGTGAAACAGAATGCGTTCAGCTCTCATTATTCTGTGAACGCTAAGTATACTAATGAGGTTCTCAAAACGGAAATTACTACAGGAGAACCAGCCAAAATGAGCTATATTTGGTATGACTGCTACATCATGGGGTTTCAGGAAACCGTAACCGTCTTCCTGTTTTTCCAAGTTGTCCACAACTACATGTCTTGTAATATTTTCCACTGCGATCGCCCTAAGCAGATTTGCTTTGTGGACTTCTTTGGGGTCTGCATGGTTGTTGGGTCCCCTATCTTTATGGTGGTTCCCATTTGCATGATACTGGAAATAAAAATAAATAAATAAATAAATAAATAAATAAATAAATAAATAAATAAATAAATAAATAAATAAATAAATAAAAAAATAAATAAATAAATAAATAAATCGCCACATATAATCCAATAGTGTTAAACTAAACGCGTGTTGATTTCAAAAGTCAGCCTATCCTTGGGGCACAGCTACGTCACAGAACGTTCTATGTTGCCAAGGCGCGCAACACGGTACCATGTTTTTTCTATGGGCTCTGTGCAAACTGTTGTGTAACACCGGACGAAGAGCCAGTGAAAAGTCGAGGAAACGAGCGTGAAATAATCCTGAGCAACAAAATTGATATATTATGTTGCACACGTAGGGGTACTCTTGTTACACTGTTCGGGAGAATCTCAACAACTATCCCGAAGTTCTGTTTTTTGAGAGCTTTCGGTCTTTGTTTTCATCGTGATGGTCGCCAGGCGGCGAAAACGACTGAATTTCCGCCCGAGGATATCAAGTTCTGTTTTTGAATATTTACTATAATCACTCACAGTCCCACAACAGAGAAACAAATGTTTCTTTATAAGTTTCATTGTCTCTCAAATTGCTCGCATTGTAAGTTTCTGGTTTTACTTAAAAGAACGCAATTAAAAGTACGAATATTATGGTGGCTTGATCTACAATGTCAACGTACTAACATGTACGGCGCCGACGGATATGATTACTGTGCCCTCTTACGACAATATACTGAATGCGAAAGCGTTATTTGTGAATTATCAGTGCCTTATATCTCTACGATGCA